TATCAGTGGGAAGTGTCAGTGGGTGGCAGACAAAGCCATCGAGGCCTCTGCTATGTCATGTCCTGGCTATTTGACTTCATGTAAGTCCCCGGTCTTTCTCAATTTCTCCACCTGTAGATTCTACCTACAATGCAGATTTGTTGCAAGAACTAAAGATAACATTAAAAATAAATAAATAACAAGATCAAGTAGTAGCGAAGCAGTGAGCTCCCAGCTCAGGACCAGCGTCTGAGGAATACCACTTTTTATTTTATTTTTTTAAAATATATATTTTATTGATTTTTTTTACAGAGAGGAAGGGAGAGAGATAGAGAGTTAGAAGCATCGATCAGCCGCCTCCTGCACACCTTCTACTGGGGATGTGCCCGCAACCAAGGTACATGCCCCTGACCAGAATTAAACCTGGGACCTTTCCGTCCGCAGGCCGATGCTCTACCCACTGAGCCAAACCAGTTATGGCTGAGGAATACCACTTTTGAGGGCTTTGTGTGAATAGAGTGATGGACGAAGGGAAGGCAGATGAAGGAGCACCCTCAGCAGGCTGTCTCGTGGGATGCAGGGAGGCCTGGCAGATGGTGGGGAAGGGACGGGGAAGAGGGGGACAGTAGGAAAGCCCAGGTCAGGGCATTCACATGGACCTTCTGCACCTGGTAGGTGACAGGGAAGCCGGTGCTTCAGGAAGATGCTGGACGGTAGATGGGAGCAGTGTGTGGGGTGTGAGCTAGAGTCCTACTTCCCCCTTCAGAAATAAGTTAAAATGACATTAATTCAACAGCCCTTGATGGGCTCATCCCTATTAACTCCTGCCTTTGGCTCAAGCTACTTCTTCTGTGTACTGTCAACCTCGTGCCCCTGAAACAGCCTGTCATCTCGGTCATTATCAAAGACAAGGAGGAGGAATTGTTCTGACGTCCTCAGATGGGAACCTACCCTTGGCTTCTGACCGTGACTGTCCTACAGTGGCTCCAGGCCACCCTGGCTTGCCTGTCCATCAGGGTAGCAGGAAATCTAACAAAATCTCCCCTAGGAGGACAGGGCTCGGGCACAGCTGGGGCACCCGTAGTCCTGCATGGGCCTGGGTGGTGTTTCCCCGCTGGGCCACTTCTCCCACTGCGGACACGAACACATACAAGGTCAGGTCCAGGAGTCCCAAGAAGGCTACTGTCTCCCTGCTTATCACTGAATACCTCCCACCCACCCCTGCCCTCTCCTCTAGGCTCGCCTTCTCATGGGCACTGCCGTACAGCCTTTCTGAAATCGCTGCTTATGCCTGGGCAGATCAATGGAACATTTGAGAGCATTCCAGGCCCCTGGAAAGCTAAGCTAACATTCTCAGAATCCATGTGCTGTGGCTGTGGCTGTGGCTGGTGGGGGATGGTTTCATTATTCATAACCTCTGTCGTGCCTCTTTCAAACTGTAACTCTGATTCCTTTTGGAAAATGTGAAAATACAGGCAGGCAAACAGGCAATAAAAGCACCCATCAGCCAGAGGTAAACACACGCTGGCCCGTATATTTCTAGGCTTGCTGTCTATGCGTATACATATCTGGTGTGGTTTTTAATAGGACTGTTCAGTGCTGCTTGGTAGCCTGATCTTTTCACATAACTATTGCAAATAGCTTTCCGTGTCATTAAACAGGCTCTCACACCTTCGCCTTTAATGACTGCCCAGTGTGTGCCAGCAGAGGTGTGCCCCAGTCAATTGGTTGTGTTGTTTTTTCTCGTGCCTGTGGTCTGCAACTCACATCATTAACTGCTGGAAGAAAGTGCCAAGGTTTCGCCAATTAGAGGCTCTTCATTAAAAATGGAACAGGCATCCGAAGCCCTCCAGGGGGTGGGCCACTGTCCTTGCTCTTCTGAAAGGTATCCCCGTCGCAAACTGCAACCTGGTCCATCAGCCAGACAGGCTGTGGGTGTGGAATAGAGGACCACTTGTATTTCCCTATGGCTGTCTCTGGAGAAGGCGGGGCTGCTTTAACAAAAAAACAAAAACAAAAAAAAGGCAGAAGCAAATGTTTTGTAATTGTTTTCAAGCTTGCGCGGGCTCAGTGGCAAGAATGAGACGGAAGCCTTGATTTGTAACCGCCTGCTGCACTGTTTGAAATGCCTCCCCGAGAGGCAAGGAGGAAGCCAGTCTGAAGTACTCGGATGCTGAAATCTGCATCCTCTCTTAGCTGGTATTGTCCCAAAGGACATTTCACATCAAATTGTACTTGTTTATAAAGATCTTCCACCCAACACAGACCACTTCTCAAGACACTGCTGATATGGAAGCTAAAGATATGCAAAGAGAGAATGAGAACCACTGCGCATCCCTGGGTAGAAATATAAGCAGATTTAACGGCAGCCGCTGGCAGCTGGAAACCCTCCATGGACGATCGTGTTCAGAGCTCAGGGAGGCAAGTAACAGGAAAGCCAGCAGTAACTGGCTACTCATTAAGGAAATGCATTTGTTCGAGCTTTTCGGGGGAACCGAGAGCAGGCTGCCCTGCGCTGGGCACCAAGAAGCAGAGGTAAATAGCCCCCCATTGACAGACTCAGGGCTAATGGTCTAAGAACATTTGAAACACGGTACCACAGGCGCTGCGCCCAGGCACTCATGTACAGGGCATATGACAACACAGCGTCGTGACCCTCTGCTGGTGGCACTAGGGTGACAGGAGCCCAAGAGGCAGAGGACGTAGAGATAGAACTGTGTCCGCCTTCCTGGGACACACAGGCACGGAGGCATGAGCTGCCAGGATGCATCTGAGCACCTGATCAGATAGAGGTGAAGCAAAGGATGGAGCCTCAGGAAATGAGACCGGTGAGGCCCGCAGGATCTGGGCTCTCGGTGTCCCGCGTCCTGGGGACAAGGACCAGGCTCTCTCCAGGAGGCACATGTCATCTGATTCCCACAGGAAAGGCTCTTTCCAGCTGGTATGGAGCTTGTGAGATTGGAGCAGAGGACAAATTAGGAGACTGTCATTACCATTCAGGCAAGAAATGACTTGGGTGTCCACAAAGCACAGTGACCATGGAAAGGAAGGAAAAAGCAGTAATTATAGGTGATGCAGTCAGCAGAGCTGGTGGCCAACTGAAGGGTGGGGGGAGGTAGGACAGAGAAAAGGCAAAGGACAAGATCCCCAGGAAGCAGAAGAGGATTGCACCTGGGGCAAGGTGACTGAGAGGGCCTCAGGTGGAGAAGGTGGAAACAATCGCTGCAGGAGGTCACCGAGAGGGGGAGAGGAGCCGCAGCACCGCTGGAGGATGGCAGTGACGGCCGCGGTGCTGCTGTGGGCGGGATGAGGAGCTGCCCTTCAGCACTGGACGATGTGAACCGAAAGCCCCCGAGGCCCACCTGAGACTGGAGGCCAGTCCACGAGTGTTTTCCCAGCAGCACTCAGAGGCCAAAGGGAAGGGAGAGGGTGGATGACACATGGGTTCCAGGTTGGATTTGGCTGTCTGGCACGGGGATAGCCATGTCCCCTGTTCAAGGGAACCTAGGATGCCAAGAAGACAGTGTCTGGAGTGCTGCCCAGGGAAGGAACGAGGCAGGAAGAGCTGAGAGAATGAGGGGTCAAGGACTCAAGTCTCAATAGAACAGGGATGAGAAGGGCACCAACAGGCCTGGGTGACAACAGGGACCAGAGGCTGTGGTCTGCAGGTGGCATGCTGAGCCGTCAGCCTCCAGAGGGGAAGCAAACACATGGATGGCCATGCCCAGGAGCTGACCCAGGAACAGGTCACTGCAGTGGGCTGGTGTTCTGGCAGTGCCCTCAAAGGACAAGGGCCAGCAGGATGGAGGAGGGGCTGTGTGACTGCCCTCCCACATTCCGGCTGGGGAGGACTGTTTCCCACCAGTGTCTGGGGCCCCGAGGCCCAGCAGCCTGGTCAGCAGCCTGCGCCGGAGCTAAGGTTGAGGGGTTTAGTTCTCCCAGGTGTGGATGGCCCCGAGGAAGCTGCCGTCCTGGGAGAGGCCTTAGTGCCTGGAGGAGGGGGCAGTGACCTGGAGGCAGCAGAAGGTACCCACCTCTGGGGGAAACCCCTGTCTCCCAAGGGAGCTATAGGCCCAGGAGGCCAGTGGGAAATCCAGGCACAGCTAAAATCCATTCTGTTCAGCAGAGCCTGGTTGAAACAAAGGCCATCCCACAGCCAGGCATAGCGGTGTGTTCAGTATGCGTCCCGCCCTGGGGACACCCCAATGCCAGCCTTTGTCAGTGCTGGAGGGCTGGAAGGAGTCCTCCAATGGGAGCAAGGCAAGCCCTGCCTCACCCTGTCCACTTGTCACCGAAGCTGAGGTTTCAGAAGAGGCACATGGTGGCTGAGAAAGAACCTGACAGTCTAAGGGACGCTCCTTAGAACCGTGACTGCCAGGCCCTCAATTGCCACGTGTGACAACGAGCCCAGGTAATTAGTACCTCAGCACTGTCATCTGAACCACATCACCTCCCACGGTAGCACCAGGCAGTTACGAATTACTCCTAAGTCTTACACTCTGCTATAGACTCAGGAAGTCTCCTAGCCATGTCCACCATTCAGTAACCGGTGGGCCTGGTGTTCTCCGTGTTTTGCCATATCTCTTTTTTTATATATTTATTTGATTTCAGAGAGAAAGAGATACAAACATCAATGATGAGAGAGAATCATTGATTGGCTGCCTCTTGCACGCCCCCTATTGGGAATGAGCCCACAATCCGGGCATGTGCCCTGACCTGGAATGGAACTGTGATCTCCTAGTTCATAAATCGAGGCTCAACTGCTGAGCCACGTCAGACTGGCTTTTTTTTATTTTTATTTTTATTTTTCCTAGCTCAGTTTATACTCCCGCATCCTGTGCACAGATCTGAACTCACGTCCTTTCTCCGCGGCTATCCTTCCTCTTCAGGGAGCCCACTGTCCCCCTGGGGTGTCCTAAGTCCCCGAAACAGCAGCCAGGGTGTGGCGAGTCCCGTGGCAGGGTGTGGGGGTCGGGTGTCCTTCCCTGCCCACCCGGTGACCAGTCCCGGCCTCCCCGCAGGTGCGCGCAGGCGCTGCTGGAGCACGGCGCCTCGGTGCATCGCGCGGGCGGCGCCGGCCTGGACACGCCGCTGCACGTGGCGGCGCAGCGCGGCCTGGACGAGCACGCGCGCCTCTACCTGGGCCGCGGGGCGCGCGTGGACGCGAGGAACGGCCGCGGCGAGACGGCCCTGAGCGCAGCGTGCGGCGCGGCGCTGCGGCCCGAGGAGCAGGAGCGCGGCCTGCGCCTGTGCGCGCTGCTGCTGCGGCGCGGGGCGGCGGCGGACGCGCGCGACGAGGACGAGCGCAGCCCACTGCACAAGGCCTGCGGCCACGCGCGCCCCGGCCTGGCGCTCCTGCTGCTGCGGCACGGCGCCGACGCGGCCGCGCTCGACTACGGAGGCGCCTCGCCGCTGGCCCGCGTGCTGCAGGCGGCCGCCTGCGCGCCCCAGGCCGCGCCCCAGCGCACGGTGCAGGCGCTGCTCAACCACGGCTCCCCCGCCCTGTGGCCCGACGCCTTCCCCAAGGTAAGAGGTGGCCGGGCACCTCCCACCCCACGCTTTGCATGCAGCGCTTCTCACTCTTCCGGGGACTCAGAAACCCCCTGGGGACTTGGGAAGCGGCAGATTCTGACTCCGTGGGTTTGGGTGGCAGAGTCCCCGTTTCTAACAGTTGCCAGGTAAGGCCCAGGCTGCTAGTCTTGGGACCATACTTTGAGGAGCCAGGGCCCGGAAAAGTGGCTTCCAGCCACTAGAAAAGAAAGAGGTTGGGGTGTGAACAAGCATGCCAGCGTGTGTGCTTTCAAAGTAGTCACCTGGGGACTCCACACACTTATTTCCCTGACGCTGTCATGCCTTAAGTTATTTTGGCAGCTCATCTTTTGTCATTTTCAGAACAATGAAAATCGATTTCTATGGCATCTGGCATTTGATCTGAAATGAAATCCCCAACCTTGTTAATGAGATTAATTACACGTTTGCAAATTCCCTCATTTTCCTCCTCATGCTTGCCTGTGAAATACCAGGCAGGTGTTTCTCCTTCCTGGGTTTCAGCCAGGTGAGGGGACTTTTCCAGAGTCAGGGCTGTGGAGACCTCAACCCCGCTTTGCAGGCTTGCCTCTGAGCGGTTTGTCACCTTCCCCATGGGTCAGATCTCGCTTGAAATAATAAAGAGGAAGAATAATGCGTTCTCACCAGAGAAAATACTCAAAAGACGGGACATATTTCCAAATGAAAAGTTCCCAAAATATTGGTTGGAGTAAGAGATTGTCTTTCCCAAAAGACTTCACCAAAGGGAAGTCATTCCATTAGATGTAAAAGTGGGCGTGCTTAATTTAAAAATGATCCCTCTTCCCCACGCTCACCAATCAGAGGCAAGAGACATGCCTGACAAGTTTTGAATGGGTGAAAGGCTGTCATCCAAAAAGAACAGTGTTCTAGATGGTCTGAAATAGCGCGATTCACACACTTCTCTCAAATGCTAACTTTGCATTATAGATGCACGCAGAGTAAAGTTTGTGTCTGTAAAAACACAGGTGAAAAGTGGGAAGCCCACCCAAACGGCTCCCTGAGCGTTTCCTTGACAAACATTATGACAAGTGTCTTGTACTAACTCTCACATTGTCTTTGAGCCGTTCTCACGTGGTTCTCACGTGGCACTCTACTAATATAGTGGCTCCAGGAGGGTGAGCTCTGGAAAGGGAGGGAATGCCAGCAGCTTTATATTCTACTAGGGGCCCGGTGCACGAAATTCGTGCACTGGGGGGGGGGGGAGTGTCCCTCAGCCCAGCCTGCCTCCTCTCACATACTGGGAGCCCTCAGGCGTTGATCCCCATCACCCTCCAATCGCAGGATCGGTCCCTTGCCCAGGCCTGATGCCTCTGACAGAGGTGTCAGGCCTGGGCAGGGGACCCTCATTTCCCCCCAACACTGGTTCTGCCCCCCAGCCCAGGCCTGATGCCTCTGGCCCAGGCATCAGGCCTGGGCAGGGGACCCCCAGACCCCTCCGATTGCTGGCTCTGCCCCTTGCCCAGGCCTGATGCCTCGGCCAGAGGCGTAGACCCCCATCACCCTCCGATCGCCTGATCGGCCCCTTGCCCAGGCCTGACGCCTCCGCCAGAGGTGTCAGGCTTGGACAGGGGACCCCCATCTCCCCCCGATCACTGGCTCTGACCCCCGTCCAGGCCTGAGGCCTCTGGCCCAGGAATCATGCCTGGGCAGGGGACCCCCATCTCCCTCTGATCGCTTACTCCACCCCCCGCCCAAGCTTGACGCCTCTGACCCAGGCTTCAGGCCTGGGCAAGGGGACCATCATATCCCCCCAATCCCTGGCTCCGCCCCCCCAGCTCCCCGTGGTTGCAGGCTCTGCCCCTGCCCAGGCCTAACGCCTCTGGCCTGGGCGTCCCGCCCGGGCAGCGGGGACCCGCAGCTGCAGTGGCCCCGCGATTGTGGGCTCCGCTTTAGGCCCAGGCAAGGGACCCCTAGCTCCCGGGACTGCCAGCTTCGACCGTGCCCAGCTCCCATCGCTGGCTCCACCCCTACTTCCTGCTATCACTGGCCAGGGCGGCAATGGCGCCTGATTCTCCGATCATGGCTGGGGGGCAGGGCAAAGGCAGCCCCAGGGCCGCCTTTGCCCTGCCCCCCAGCTCTTAGCTCCCCCCTGGGTTTCCGATCACTGTCAGTGGCAGGGGGCTTCTTCCTGCTTTCCCTTTCGCCTCCCTGCATTGTGCCTACATATGCAAATTAACCGCCATCTTGTTGGCAGTTAACTGCCAATCTTAGTTGGCAGTTAATTTGCATATAGCCCTGATTAGCCAATGAAAATGGTAGCGCCATATGCCAGTTACCATTTTTCTCTTTTATTAGTGTAGATAACACTTACCTGTTATCTCCCTAATTTGCATTTTAACATGTCCCAATATTAGCAGGCTTAGTGCATCAACCATAACATGGAAACAAGACCCACTCGCTGCCCCTCCGGGTCACACGGTGTTTGCCTTAAACCAAGATGTACACGTCAACTATCACCATATGAAATTGCATAAAGAATGCAAAAAAACAGGCTTTACGCAATGGGCCACCAGTGAAAAATACCTGAGGCAAATTATTTTTGTTGTTAATCCTTGCCCAAGAATATTTTTCCATTGATTTTTAGGGAGAGTAGAAGAGAGAGGGAAAGACAGAGAGAAACATCGATGGGTTGCCTTCTGCATGAGCCCTGAGCAGGGCCTGGGCCAGGGAGGAGCCTGCAACCAAGGTATGTGCCCTTGACCAGAATCAAACCCGGGACCCTTTGATCCACAGGCTGACGCTTTACCCACTGAGCCAAACTGGCTAGGGCGGAGGCAAATTATTTTAAAGAAAAAATATCAAAAAAAAGAAAAAATAAATTAAAAGAAAAAAGTAAACAAAAGGAAAAAATATCAGTGTATTTCAGCAGTGACTACAAATAATCCTTTGTTGGCCTTGAAGTCACTCTATTTGAGTGATTCTTTACCCAGGTTTCCAAGTCCCAGGGGCACCTTCCCTGAGGATAAGACCTCTAACACCTGAACTCTGTCTCCAGGGCTGTGGGAATTACCCCACCTTGACCTTGACATGCAGGGCAAAGCACAGTGGCTCTCCCTCTGGGTCTCCAGGGGCCCTATCCTGGGTCAGCCACACAGGAACAGAGCATGGTCAGTGGAGGTGTAAATTGGGTTTAGGTTTGGGGGGAGGGTCCTGTAATGGGGGTCAAAAGGCTATGAGAAGTGTTCAGCTCCTAGAAGTGACACTGACTCTCCCAGCAATTGTAGAAGGAATTAGAGTTTCCTTGAGAAATCAGAATACTTTGAGGCTTTCACCAAAAAGCATTGCCCACCATTGCTTTCCTTGCACATGCACAGAGCTGACCCCTGCACACCTCAATGTTGAGTGAATGAAGGAGATTCCAGCAACTCCATGGCACACCACTTGCTGTTAAGTCCTTGGAAATGGACATGGGGATCTGAGTCCTTTGTGCTGAGGTCGACCGCACCTCTAGGGGGCGACCATGGCACTCCTGGCTGGGAGCAGGGTGCGGCCCAAATGCATTTACCATACTTGGCGTCCTCTGAGCCAAGTTACAAGTGCCTGTGATGTTCTAGCCTGGGCCCAGGACAGCCAGGGCGCACACTGGAAACCTGGCTGCAGCATCTTCCTCCACCCAGGCCACCTGCATGTTCCACCAGGAAGGAGTCTAATCACCACACGAGACATCAAAGGGACAGACCAGCTCTGCTCAGCAGCCCCGTGGAGTGCGCAGCAAACACACTGAACCAGGCCACAAAGATACACTGCAGGCGAGACTCCACACCGTGGCGAGGGGTGCACAGAGGCGCCGGCAATGTCACAGAGCACGCGGTCCGTGGGCAGCAGCTGGGCTTGAAATAGATGTAAAGAGATACCCACGGAGCTCGGAATTACTGAGGCAAAAGGTTTCACAGCGAGCTTATGACATAAATCACATTCCCTCAGGCCCAGACAAAGGCACCATGGCCGCAGCAGGCAGACTCCAAGCATCCACCGCGCCGAGGACAGTGCTCTGCGGTGAAAATCAAAGTGGTGTCACTGCTTGGGAAGCAAGCGTGTTGACAATGCCAGGCCTTTCTGCCTGGCTGACCTCTAGTTAACACCAGTCAGGGGTGGGGGCACAAGGGCAGGTGGCAGGCAGTGGCCAGGTTTGAATTCTGGAAGTTGTCAGCACAGGTGGGGCTGGCCTGGGGGAGAGCAGACAGGAGGGCAGAGAAACACACACACACACACACACACACACACACACAAATGTGAGTCCAAACTTGCTTTGCCACTGCACTAGCTGAGCTTGTGGGTTGGATGCTTGGTCTGGAATAAAGGGCTTTGCTCACCGTTCTCTCTCCTGCCTCTCACCTGGAGGCCAGATTCACGAGTTTGAAGAGCAGATTTTGGGCTGGGCCCCAGAACAGAAACAGCGTTCCTGAGGGTGTGGGAGGGTAAGTCAGCCCCACTCTGGGATGGGACAGGACCTCCCCAAGTCCCAGAGCTGGGAGGTAGCACCAGGACAGAAGCCCATGGCCTGGGACCGCTCTTTCCTGCCTCTTCCATGGGTCATTTGTCCCTCATTATATAAAGGGATCCCCTCCTCAGAGCACTTCTCATTTGCAGTCAGCTCTCATGCTTAACGCACTCTGCTTCCTCACCCCTGTTCCTTGTTTTGTGCTGTTTTGTGCCTTGTTACCTACGGGGCAGAGGCCAGCAGCACCCGGCGGAAATGCACACGCGGAGGCCGTAAATATTCACACTCGTACTTGCCCACGAGCGGGGGAGGTGCAGGGACAACACCAGCAGTGCCCTGTGTCCCCCAAACCACATAGGCCATGCTTCCCACGGGCACCCCTGAAGCATGTATTTAGGCATTTAACACACATTCCTAAGGCATTGCTAAGCCCCGTGCTGGAGTTACTGTGTTGAACCCGCCCTCATGGCACTGTCCCTCAGGAGGGTAAGACAACCACACACACACACACCCATGT